TACTTTGTTTTAATATTCATGTTAGATTTGATCGAACTTCGACGAATAGAAGCCGCTGAAGGTATTGCAAATCAATTATCAAAATCAAGAAATATCGTCTATTTACCACATGGTCCTCAAATGTTACTTAACATTACTGGTGGTATGCAATAAAAATATTGTTTTTTTTTGTTTTCATAGTAAACTAACAAGATTGATTTAGGAAAATAAAAAGAACATATAAGAGTTTTTTTTTGTATGTGTGTGTGTGTGTTTATATAATATTGAGAATACTAAAGCATTGTATTATCCTGTTTTTTGTTCGATTAAAGAAAAAGAAGATCAGATCAACAGTTCTCTGGATGATATTAAAGATTCGAGTACGATTGAAATGATGAATTTCGATAATCTCTTTCGATGTTTTATATTAACTCAATCATTTGTACGTGGTTGGAGAAATCCATTTCATTTACAAGAAATTTTTACCTATCGACGTGAAAAAATTGGTGTAAGAGATGAGTGTTTAGAACTTGTACCAGCTGGAAATGTACAGGAAAATACTGTTGAAATAATTAAACAAGAAACAAAAAGGTAATCAAAATTATATAAATGCTCGATTTCGTTCACCACTTGCCAATTATTTACCACATTTGGTAAGTAATTTAAATTATTTTAATCATTTAATTAATATTATCTTTTTTCTTTTGTTCTATTTATTTAAATAGGTTCCATCTCAAGTAGCTATAGCTCATTTTCAACTTGTTCTATGACGTGATCAAGGTTTTAGTCGACGAAGGTTATTTACTGCAGTCCCATTAATTAATCAATATCCTTTAGGTTCAATTCTTCTTGAAAATCTATATTATGGTTTAAGAAAACTCCCAGATCTGCTTCATTGGTATCAAAAAATGAAATTAACATCAGCTATTCTACATGGTTTTTCTCTTGGTAGACATATGGCTTCATTAGCATTTACAAAGTAAGATTCAATTCTATTATTTGATCTATTTAATGAATGAATATACAGTATCTATCCTAATTTCAAATAATGATTCAAGTAGAGCAAACCATATTACAAAAAGAATATAAATTAAAAACATTGATTATTTAATTCCCAAAGTTAAGATTTTTTTAGACAGCCCAAAAGCCTAATTTCTCAGTATCTAGTACTTGAACTCTCTAGGACAGTTTTTTATGGAGTAAAAGTTGAATAATTTTGGTAGCCATTGTGTATATATTTATATTTTAGATGGCCTGATTCACCTTCTCGACAATTCTATGAAAATAAAGCCTCTCAAATATTTTATGATTATTTATGTGAACGAAATCGATCAATAGATTCAAATAAAATTGTTCTCAAACTTATTAAAGATATGATGCGTCTTCTTATGGATGAATTTACATCTTTATATAATTATTCACGCTCAGTTCAATCAAATATATCTAATGCTATGTTTATTGCTTGTACACATGATGGTTGTGCATTACGTGATGGTATTCCACATATGAATGATGTATGACCTGGTATTCATATTCGATATATTCCTCATGGACATGTTAATGCATTTTTATTTAATCAATTAGGTTTTCATCATACTGCTGCTAAAATGTTACAACGACAAGAACCAAATGTAAAACTAAAAAACATCTAATCATATCACCAATTTTTGTTACTACACCTAAAAATTCGTGAAGATATATATTTTTTTCATATAGATATTTTCTCGAAAAGTATCAAATATTTCCTAATTTTTGTGTTATGATTTGAATAATAACTCAGAGAAAAGAAAACTTTTGATCAAATATAAACTAGATAATATATTAATCGTTTTGTTTTTTAAATATCATTTGTATGGCTCTAGTAAAAACATGAGGAAACATTTTTTTTTGGTTCTATTTATCAGCAAATAGATGTTGAGAGAACTTGTCCAACTGATATCCTCTGTTCGAGCTCATAAGTAGGACTCATAGTCATGATGAAAATATTAAATATGTTCGTGCTCTTAAGCCTTTCATGATTGTTTTATTAAATTTTCAGCATATTGCAGGATATTAGCAAAAAAAACTGCAATAACGAGTCTCCATTTGGAACTTTCTTCAATAACAGATCTCATAACAATTATTACATTCTAAAAGTTTTAGCTCAAACGAATGGATCAGTCGTTTCATTTGAAAGAAATGTCCAAAATAATCAGTTTTACTTTCATGAAATAAATACCAATAAAATATATCATTTTTAAAAAGCGACCAATCTAAGTGTGACTTTTTTATTCATTTTTTTTTATAGACCGTTTTATATAATCTTCTAATCACACGTTATTAGTTATTTAACAAAATCTGTTGTAGCTCGAAAAAAGAGGGAGTAGTGAACCAATTGGTTTTGGATACGAAGGAATATAGGAAGAATATCCAAGCAAAAAAAAGGGAAAGCATCTTCTGATTAAGAATTTTATCAATTATTAGTTTCAAGGACATTTTATTTGTCCAAGTAAAGTCTAAATATTCGAATTCTTTAATTAGTTTTAGTCTATGACCATCCATATACATATTAGATACTGAATTTAATACTTGCAAGTAAAAAAATCTTTACTACTAGTTTGTATAAATTGATGAGATTAGTTCATTGGACACGTTTTAACTTTTTTAGTATTTCCTTTCTAGAGAAGTAAATATAGAAACAAAATTTGCTTTTACATATGAGAGAGTTTCGAATATTTCGTATTTCCGAATAAGAGATACTGGAAACATTACAACTTGCCCCAATGAACTAATCTTATTAAGAACTTTGTTCGTACAAAGTTTAAAGTGGAAACTTCAAAGTCGATTTTCCACGTGATCTGAGGGAGAGACGAAAAACCCAGTAAAATTTTAATATCTCAAGGACGCAAGTCTGGCGAGATAACCTCGAGAGATTAGATTGTTGGGGACTTTTGTCCAGTGCCTTACAGAATTTTACATGTTTTGCTGAAAATGAAATCAGATGCGTCTGATCCAACAAGATACTCCTATTTTTAGCTTACTCAATGTAACTATTTTAGTTAATTTCTAAATATCGAAGTATCTATATTCGTTCAGCAAGATATTGAAGCAGTTTGATAAGCAACTAATGTAAATTAGTCGAAGTCGTTCGATTATAAAATTGGACATACTATCGAAACCAGATGACTTTTCTATTTTCTTTTTTGATACGTGTCTCTTTTCCTCGTTGAAATTCGGTCTTTTCATTTAACATTGCTAATTTATGTATTAAGTCTTGGTACTCTTTCAATTTGACTTTCATAAGGGTCTAACATACCAGGACTTTGCTCTATGAACTGTTCCAAATAGTAGCGATAGAGCACTTCTTTATTTTCGTTCTTCTTGACCAACACTACTCTATCAATTGCTTATTTTGAAAAGGACAGTGATTTAGAGTCATTACATTAACTTTAATAATGTTCTTGTCTCTTCATTTTCATCACATATTTTCTTCTCTCTAACGTACTTATATCTTATTGCTTTCATCAAGCAGTACGAACACACAGGTTATTCACAAGCATAGGCGGCGGAGCCACGAGGCCTGGGTAGGCACGAGCCTACCCTAGATTGGAGTCGGGTAGGCTTGGGTAGGCTTAAACTGTGACAGATTAAGGCTTGGACAGGTTCGAATTATCCTAAATTAAATATATGAAAAAGCTTGAGTAGGCTCGAATCGTCTTAGATTAAGGAGGTTAAAGAGGCTCAGATAGGCTCTGTTCAATGTTAAAATTCTCTAAAGGGTGGTTCAAAAGTTTCGACCACTCTCCATAAATCGATAGTATCTACAACAAACTAATATGAAGTTATTGATCAAATTACGTCATCTTTTGTGAAACACAATCTGAAAGGAGTGTTGAAGTGTTTAGGGGTAGAAATTTGCACCCCCCCCTCCCCCCACAGACCGTGACAGAGAAATTCCATACCCATCACAGACCGTGACAGAGAACCTCCGGACCCATCACAGACCGTGACAGAGAAACCCCAATACCCATCACAGACCGTGACAGAGAACTTCCGGACCCATCACAGACTGTGACAGAGAAATCGCAGTACCCATCAGAGACCGTGACAGAGAACCTCTGAACCCATCACAGATCGTGACATAGAAACCCTAGCACCCATCACAGACCGTGACAGAGAACCCCTAACACCCATTACAGAC